ACACACACACACACACACACACCCTGCCCATGACTCCTGCAGGCTCTTGGGTGAAACTGAAACTACTGAGCTCCTACTTCTCACTCAGTGAAGCTCTTTTCAGATTAAAAATACCTTTGAGGAAATGTATTTTCAGATGCCAAGTAAACTGCATCATGGCAGACCCCCCCTCCCCCCACCCCGCACTGAAATGGACGGGACAGAAGCAGAAGGTGGTTCTTAAAGAGACAGAGGCCAGTTTCAAGGTGTTTAGAAGAGGAAGTGATGAAAAGGAAGGTTCAATTTCTATTTAAACATAAAAACAGCATTTTAATAACAGCTAAAGGTGACATAGATACTTTATTATGGTATAGTATTTAAATGTATGCCTGAGAAACACATAATATTGTCCCTTTAAACAGAGAAGCTGTCAGTTTTTCAGCATCTCTCCCCAAACCTCTATCAGCTGGTCTCCTCAGGTCCTACATGTTTGCAGATGTTCCACAGTGGTAAGAATGGTCTTTCTCCACTTGTTGCTTCCATTAAAGTCCCAGTTTGTGAAGAACTGAGCCAGGAGACTGACATGAGGAGCTCAAGTAAAACTTTCAATTTTTAAAAACAAAAAGTGAGAAGGCTGGCAGAGCAGCACCTTACATGAAGAGAAGAGAACAAAAGGAGAATGGCAGAAAGCTGAAACACTGACTGAGGATGAAGTGAGAACTGAGTCATCAGACAGGCTGTTGGGTGGAAACACCTGACAGAATGGTAACTGAGAACAGGTGCGTGTGGTGGGAGGAGCTGAAGGAGCAGAAACTGATGATCTCTTTAACATCCTGTTGATCAACACATCGATCTGAATAAAACTGAATAAAATGAACTCAATACATTTCAGATTCCTGCTTTTTAAGCTACGTTTTGATACCTGGATCATCCTGAGATCATGAGTGGTTCCAGAAATATGACTTAATTTATAATCCTTATCTGGATAACATGGACATTTGGTCTGAATTCTGTTTTTAGGTTTTTCTTAGTGAGGAATTTTAGATGTCATTTCAAACAAACCTCAAACAATATTTTGATATTAAGATTTACCAGCTGGAAAGAAAAAAGCTTTGCTAGCTCACAGAGAAAATAACAAATGGTGTTATCGTGTTAACGTAACCTCTTGAGCCCGAAACATCTTTTTCTGATTTCTGTTTCTTTCAACTTCTTTTAACAGTTGAATCTGGACATGTTTGGTATCAACAGAAAATAAAGAATCTTGGCTGAAACATTCACCAAACACAGTTCAAACGTCAAGCAGTTAAATCAGAAAGTAAACAAACTGTACAAAATGTTATCATTGCAAATCTGTAAATTCAAGCAAATCTGTAAAGGGAACATTTTTGACATTTTTTAAGCAAGTTAAAACAGATACTTAAACATGTTGTAAAGTGTGTTTAAAGTTTTTTTTTTCACTTCATTTTGAGTGAATATGATCCAACTAAAGTCAAGTATAATTTTTCATTATTAACATGCAAAAATGAACAAACAAAAAGCATGGTCGACAATTGATGATAAAATGCATAATTTGTACCTTTCTACTTCACTGTCATTTTCTGTTTGTTTTACTTCATATTTTAGCATGAATCTACTAATAATATAACAATCCACTAACCCTTTTAGAGAATAGCAGCTGCTGGAATAAACAGGAACATTAAGTTGTAATCTTAAAGGTAAAAAGAGCCAAACTGTCACAGTCAATAGTAAACATTTACTTTAACTAACATGTTTTAATTGGTCAAATTATTTTGTACTGTTGCAGTAAATATGTTACATTAAAGCAGGGGTTCTTAACCTTTTAGACCTCGGGGCCCAGTTTATTGAACATAAAGTGTCACGAGGTCCAGTCAGACATTTCCAATGTATGGATCAAAATGATAATTATTCTAAATCTTGGTTTAATTTTTTTGTATTTGCATTGTAAATAAATTAAATACACTTACATTTTAAAAGTAAAACTCCTGTCAAATAATCACAAGACATGATTATGACAAACATTTTTATATTGTAACCTGCCCATAACAATTGTTTGAACAAATACAAAGGTCAGTCAACAGACCACTCAGGCTTATCAGCACAAATATATGCAGTATATTTTTAATATAAACAATAACAAAAATAGACAATTCAATAAATAAAATTGTGGGCACAAAATAAATAAATTAAAAATGTTTAAATG